AATATAATACTATCATTTAATCCCCAATCCATATTCAGATTTCCTCAAGGGTTTCAATGACATCCCTTAAGCTCTTTTTCCCAATCCAGGATCGCATGTTGCCTTTAGTTGTTATGTCTCTTCAGTCTTATTTAATCGGGAAGAATCTTTTCTTTAACATTTAAAGAATATTATTTTAATCATATGTTTTTCTTCAAACAGGGAAAAATTATTTACTTTAGAACCTGGCGATTTTAGTGGAATATTGATTAGCAGGTGACTAACTTTGGGACATAAGTTTTATTCTATAAACTTAGGTCTAAGTGAAATGACAAAATTTTAATGTGTAGTTTTCTTTTTCCTAGAGTCAATACTTCTGTGTTTTTTTTTTTTTTGGGGGGGGGTTGTTTAGTTTCCTATAAAGTATTACTACTAATTCTTTACCCAAGCTCAACTTTAACTCTCAACTGTGAGCAAACCGGTCACATAACCCATCAATTTCAGCTTTAACAATTATTTAAAACAGCAATCATGAGAGAGAATCATTGATCAGCTGCTTCCCATGTGCCCTCGGGAGCACTCCTACTGCTCCAACCTGGTCGGGTTTCTGCTTCTCTGCTCCACAGCTCCTGGGGGTTTCTTTATCATCGCCTTGAAAATTCCCTTCGCATCTTTTTTTTGTATTAGACTGTGGGTTTCTTGTCAGTCATGGTCTCTTGCCTCACTTCCTCTGTTTTGGTGTTGTGCAGTCTCTAGTTTGCTTTGAGAGGGAATGGAGGGGGATAAAGCCTGCAATCTAGGCATGTGCTGGCGGACACTCTATCCGCTGTGCCAAACTGGCGAGGGCTGCATTTCTTCCTTTTAATATTTTCATTGATTTTTTTTTTTTTTTTTTCAGAAAGGAAGGGGAGAGCGGTAGAGAATTAGAAACATTGATGAGAGAGAAACATTGATCAGCTGCCTCCTGCACACCCCCCACTGAGGATGTGCTTGCAACCAATGTACATGCCCTTGATCAGAATCAAACCTGGGACTCTTCAGTCCAGAGGCCGACGCCGACGCTCTATCCACTGAGCCAAACTGGCTAGGGCTGCATTTATGTCTTTTTCTTTCTTTTTTAAAAATATATATTGTATTGGTTTTTCACAGAGAGGAAGGGAGAGGGATAGAGAGTTAGAAACATCGATGAGAGAGTCACATCGACTAGCCGCCCTCTGCACACTCCCCAACGGGGATGCGCCTGCAACCAATGCACATGCCCCCAATCGGAATCGAACCCTGGACCCTTCAGTCCGCAGACAGACGCTCCGCTCCCTCCACTGAGACAAACCGGTTCGGCTGCATTTATTTCTTAATCTATATATTAAAAACAAGAAATTCATAGATACCCCATTGAAAGAAGAAAGGAATGAAAATCATTTTTTTTTTTTTTTTTTTTTACAAAGAATCACTTTGTGCCCAGTGGTTAGAGCATTAAACCACACACCAAAAGGTCTTGGGTTCCACTCCTGGCCTAGAGCATGTAGCTGAGCTGAAGGTTCGATCCCTGATCCACTGGGCAAGTGCAGGGGGAGGGAGCAAGCAGTTAATATGTCTCTCTCACATCGATGTTTATCTCCTTCCTTCCCACTCTCTCTAAAAACCAATGGAAAAATATCCTCGGGTAAGGTTAACCAAAATAACTTTTTTTTAAAATCACTTTGCTCAATGTGTTCAGAATAGACTGTAAGGATACAAGAAACAAGAGCAGATAATCTGGGTGAGGATGAGGGTGGTATGGGCTAGGGTGTTAGTGATGCAGTAGTCCATTTTTTTATTTTTATTTTTTACATATTTTAAGTAAGAAGTTGCTGACATTCCATGTGCAGTGTATGAGAGAAAAATCAAAGATGATTCTAAGGTTTTTAGCCTGACCAACTACAGAAATGGAATTTCTATTAATTGAGATGGAAAGACTATAGATGGAGCAGGTTTGGGGAAGACCCATCGGGAGTTTGGTTTGGACATTTTAAGTTTATAATTGCCTACTAGATATTCAAATGGAAATGACATGTAAGCAATACTACATCTGTAACTCAGGGAACAGTTCTGGAGCTAGAGATGAGAATTTTGTATGAATTAATGGATCACTAGTTGATATGTAAAGCCCTGATGCTGGAGATCACTAAAGCAGTGAGTACAGATAGAAAAGAGATTGGAAAATTGAGCCTTGGGAACACCCCAACATTTAGAGATCCAGAAGATGCAGAGTCAGCAAAGAAGCTTGTGAATGAACTGCTAATGACCTCGAAGGAATATCAGAAGAGTGTGGTGAAGAGAAGGCAGTGAAGGGAGTGTTTCTCAGAGGGAGTAAGCATCTGTGTCAATTGGTCATTTGGTAACCTCAACGAAAGCAGCTTTGATGAATGGGGGCAGGAGCACCTGATTAGAGAGAGTTCAAAGGAGACTAGGAAAAGGGAGTTGGAGACATTGGGTATAACGTGTCGCAGGAGAGGGTAACAGAGAAATGGAGTGATAGATGAAGGGGGGACATGAGGTCAAGATAGCTTTTTTTGTCTTGCTTATTCTAAATTGGAATACATTTTAGTCTGTAGGCTGGTGGAAAAATCCAGTTAGAGAGCAGAAACTTGATGGTATGGAAAAGAGCAATATTCGTGAGCCCCTGTGGGCCAGAGGGAAATGGAGATCTACTTAGTAAATGTAGAAGTTGGTGGTAAGTGGAAGGATTCATCTACAGTACTGAGGGAAAGGGAGAGTATGTGGCCACAGACAGGTAGTTAGGTAGGTAAGGAGGCAGGTAGGTAAGATTGTGGATATCGATGGGAAAATCTCTTCAGAATGCCTTTTCTCAGGTGAAACAGGAAATAAAACCGAGGGGGGGGAGGGATGTAGGGATTTATGGTTTGGAGTGAAAGGAGAGGGAATGAAATAGTATAGAAAGGTTGCAAGGTGAATAAATTATGGAAATGTAATACTATTGGTCAATGGACTTGAGGAATCACCTGAGTTTGGTGGAATTATGAATTCAAATTGGCAGTTAAAAGACTTCCACAGGACACAGCCTTCAGAAATGTAGGAAGGAGTGTAAAGCCTGCAACAGGGAGTTTATGGAGTGGTCACCGGTGATTGAGTCTGAGAGTTCTAGAATAAATGCAGGATCTTCTCCAAGGAAAGAAATCACTGGGAAAACAAATTACCAAATGACTTTTCTTCAAAACTTCTGGCGCTGTGAGCAGGATTCGAACCTGCGCGGGGAGACCCCATTGGATTTCGAGTCCAACGCCTTAACCACTCGGCCATCACAGCCACAAGGGGCCCACTGCCTGCTCAACTATAGCTGTTTATAAAGAGGTTTGCCCCCAATCCCGCCTCCACTCAGTTATCTCGAGATGTTTGTGCATATGGACCTGGATGCTGCTGGCGGCACCTGCTTTGCATCAGGCATCAGCAGCCCTATGGGTGCAACTTTCCTTCCCTCCTTCCTCGCACGGAGCCAAATATGGCTCCAACAAAATAAGCCCAAATCGGCCCAAACCCTTCAAAGCAAAGGGATGCGCGATTGCGAGAAGCCTTTTGGAAGAGGCAGAAATGCGTTCTCCCTTCAGCAATAATATACTACTGTCACCTGGGCCAGGTACCGCTAGGATTCGAATCCAGGGTCTCCTTTTTACGCAGACCCTTTATTTTACTTATTGATTTGAGAGAGGAAGAGCAGGAGACACTGATTTGTTTTTCCACTTATTTATGCGTTCATTTGTTGATTCTTGTATGTACCCTGACTAGGGATCCAAGGGCAACGTTGGTGTACACGGCTGATGCTCTAACCAGGCTACCCAGCCAGAGCCAGACGGGAGCTTTGACCAGCTAAGCCATGGCGCGATGCCAGGCTGGTTCATTTGCAGATAGAACTATTCATGTGGTCGGTAAAAGCAATTACAGAACAACGGCTGCCCCAAGCCGGCAGGACTTATCCCTTTCAAAGGTTTCCCTTCCCAAAGGTTTTGGGATCTGAACCACAAAGTTAATGCTCCGCCCCTCCTCCTTCCACATTTTTGGGGGCCAACTTGACCATGCATGGGTTCGTAACTCCTCCCCCCTTAGCCACTGACACCTTCAGGCCCTCTCCTGTGCCGGGCAAAGAAGTCAGAAGTTCAACTGCTTCAGGACACCCAACCTGCTGACCCACCATGGTGCTTGCTTCTCATGTCTCCCTCTTGGGCAAAGGAGCTGAGGTCATGCTAGAGTGAGCGCGGGTGTGAGCAGGTGGAGATTCAGCAGGCTCAGCCAGCCCTTCAGGGGAGAAGAGGGACAGGAACTGCTCACTCTCACTACAACCTTCCTGGAAGCAGGGCTCCCACGGGCAGGGGGAGGACAGAAAGCCACCTCCTCACCAAGACCTCCCCTTACCCAACCCCAAACTTCATTCCACAGAGCCCTGGGTTTTATTCTTTTATTTTTTGTTTTTGTATTAAAAAATATTAAGAGACACAATATCAAAAACACAAATGTCATAGGTAGAGGGTACAGCTGAGAACGCCTGGGTCCCACCTGAGGGGCAGCACCAAGGACCCCATGGTCCACCAACCTCCCCCACCTGGAGCAGCTAGAGGTCCGGACCACTGGCTCCTGCTGGAGCCTCGGGCCCTCCTTCTCCCGTCGGGGGAAGAGGCAGGAGAGGACTGCCTCCCCAATAAATAAGTGCAGCCCCAACCCTTGGTTCCCAGGATTAGGGCTCAGCTGGAACATGGAGAGGCCGCGTCAGCAGCCTGTCAGCAACCCTGTCCAGGGAATAAAGGACTCAGCAGGGTGGGAGCTGAGGCTTTTCTGCAGAGTTCCACCCCTTTGTTCCCTAGAGGCCAGAGGCACCTCTGGATCCTGGGCTGACGTGACGGGGGTCCAGCCCCCTACAGCGGGAGAAGCTGGGACAGTTTGCTACTGGTTGGTCCAGCCACATCTGAGTTCTGAGAGTTGGATGTGGAAGAAGCGTCTCATGCCTCCTGGAGGCGGCCTCCAGATGTAGCTTAGCTGGTGCCGTTTCCTGTGGCAGGTGAGGCTGGGCTGGATGAGCTCCCCCCTTGTTCCTCCTCCTCCATGGCCTGGTCCTGAGAGCTTGAGGCCCCAGCCCCAGCTTGGGCCTGGGCCTCCTCTCTGCCCTCATCCTCACAACTGCCTCCGCCACCTTCGCCTCCACCCTCTTCCATGGGCTCCAGCCCCAATCCATCCAGTCCTGAGAATAGTGGGTCTTCAGGGTGGCCAAGGTCTTGGGTGTTACTTCCGCAGTCCACACAGGCCTTGGAGGGAGAGAGGGGGTGAGTGAGTCAGGCAAGGTTCTCCCACTGATAACCACCACCCAGCTCCCTGAGCACCTCCCAAATACACTCCGAGGAAACACTGTCCACATAGAGGCATGTGGGCCAAGACTGGAGACTCCACTGTACTCTGTACCCAGGCCCCACTATGGGACAGTCACAATGGTCAGTAGCATAGAATTGGCCCAGAAAAGATCTACAAAAACACATGTGGTTTAATATTACATAACCCAGCAGCAAACTCGGTAAAATTAAGATTCTTTAGAATAATCCAGCGACAATAAAGGGAATCAGCCCTTAGCCTCTATCCTCTTGACCTGAGTTCAATTCGTTCTTCTCCCTCCTGGCCCAGATTCCTCCTCTCACCATCACATCAAGGACCCGAGGCAGCTGGCCCTCCCGGACCCAGGAGTGCACGGCACCCAGCTCCCTCCGCTGGTCCTCCGAGAACCGAGGCTGCTGCTTCTGCATGGCCCGGAGCCGCTCCCGGTCCTGCCTCAGCACCGAGGCCATGTCCCTGCCAGGGAGGGGGTTCAGAGGTCAAAGCTGGGCGGTGGGACCAGGGCCCATGAGGCTGGCATTCTTCCTCTACCACAGCTCCCCGCCCACTGCCTCACGCTCCTCCCCTGAGGAGTTCAGGGCTTCTGAGACCAGGAGAGCTGCCCTCGGCCCGGGAGGAACTAATGAGAGGGCCCCAACAGGCAGGGGACAGGACAGACAGCCACAGAGGAGAGCCAGCCCCAGAAAAGAAAACCCCGAGTTAGCTGGGGAGTGAGGGTGCCTCTCGAAAGGATGGCAAGGAGGCCTCAAAGTCCTCACCTGGAGGGCACCTGGTAGGTCATCATGACACGCTGGTCAGCGTTGGCCATGAGCAGCCAGATGGGATCCTGGAGCACGTACTTAATCACCTGGTCCCCCGGCTCAGCCTTGGCCCGGGCAGCCCCAGCCTCCGCTTCGGAAGAGTCGATGCTGCCAAAGTACTTGCTTGTGTGGCTACTCTGACTGCTTCCTATAAAGCAGGGTGCCAACCAATGGAGTCAGGCCAGCTGGCACGCCCACCTCCCTCAAGGCCCATGTCCAGCCCACTGGCCTTAGGAGCCTCAGCAGGGCGTGGCCCAGGCTGCCCACCACCGTGGGGCCTGGACTCTTCACTCCCCCGTCACTGCTCTACCTGGGAGGCACTGGTGGGGGCACTCACGTGTGATGCTGGCTGAGGTGCTGCCCGCCTCGTGGGAGCCTGAACCAGACCCAGAGCCCAAGCCCGAGCCCAAGGAGCCTGAGGCAGCGGAGCCTGTGCCCGAGCGAGAGTCTTCTTGCAGCAACAATTCCAGGAGGTCACTGGAGCCCGAAAGGGCGTCCTGATTGGAGGACTCAGTTACCTCCACCTGGTGGGGGGGCCGGGAAAAATTAAGGGATCAACACCTGGGCTTCCCTTCAACTGCTTCCACTTTCCACCGTTTGGGGAGCACACCCAAGCCAAGTGGCCTTTGATCTGATCCACAACACCGGGACGGGAACGAGAGAGCAGAGAGCAGGCGAAGAGTAGGGACATGACGCTGAACCATTCCCAAGTGGCACATGCACGCTCAGAGGCTATTGGGATGTCCACACCGCCTGTCAGACAGACAGGACTGTCCCCCTGCACAGGCAGGCAGCGGGTTTCTGCCTTATTCAGAAACTCAGCCGGGGGCTCCCACCCCCCACGCCACCTTCTGGAGGTGAGGTGCAGGCAGAGGGCAGGAAGCAGTGCAGAGGGGAGGAGCAGCACGGGGAGGAGGGCTGTGGAAGAGGATGCGGGGACCCGTTCTCACCAGTCTGGCCTCTGGCTCGGCAGTCTCCTCACTGGGAGGCAGGGGCCCAGCGCTGCTCCCGGGGCCCCCTGCGGCAGCGCCCTCCTCCAGCTGCAGCAGGTTTAGCTGGAGTGGGGAGCTGCACCGCGAGTTGAAGAGTGGAGAGTCTGGGCGGCGGGGAGGGCTGGGGGCTGGCGGGGGCAAGGACGGAGAAGGGGAGTGGGACACAGGGGTAGGGGGACCCTCGGCAGGAGCCTGAGGGACCCCATAGGGATAGCTGGAGGGGGTAGGGAACAGATAGTTAGGGAGCACCAAGGCTACCACTGGGGTCACCAGGGGGGCAGGGAAAGCTGCCGGGGCCGAGGAAAAAGGCTGGGGCCCCTCTCGGGGCGAGAATACTGGGAGGGGGTAGGGCTGTACCACAGCTGGGAAGGGAGTAGCGGCTGGTGGGGGGGGCCAAGGGGCGGAGGGTGGGACAGGTGAGGGGTGGGAGACACAGCAGGGGGCTTCCACCCGAGGGGTCTGGTGGTGCCGTGAGCGCTTGGCTTTGGACCGGCAGTGGTATCGGCGGCTGGGGAGCGTGCGGCCATGGTGGCAGCCTGTGGGGAGAGACCAGGGTTAGGGAGGGCCTCCATGTGGGCTTGGCGCCCCTGCACACTCACTGCCCTGCCATCCTAACAAGGGAGAGGGCAGGCGAAAGCCCTAAACGTGTAGCTTCTCAGCCTGCAGACAGAGGGGACTGGGGAGGTGGGAGCCTCCAGGCAAGAATCACAGGAGGCAGGAAAGGGGGTTTATTGAGAAAGGAGCGGGGGAGGAAAGGTTACATGAGGGCTGAGGGGTTGAGCTGGGTGTGCAGGAGAGGCACTGGCCGATGGGAGGAGCAGGGTGGTCCATAAACGAATGGGTGGGAGGCTTCTGTCCATGCGTCAAGCTCCCTCAGGCGCTGCCAGTGTGGGCGCTCCTTCTGCCAGTCAAGGCCATGCTCTGCCTAGCTCTTGATGAAGCGAAGACACAGGCAGGAAAGCCGATCCTGAGCCCTGTGTCCGCCTACAGGAGGCCTCCCTCAGTCACTGCTGGGCTGCTGCCCGTCTCTTGAAGCCTGACTCCACTGGAGTCTCCTTGCCTAGATTTGGCCCTGAGTTTGTATAGATCCCTCTCTTTTTTAAAATATGTTTACTGCCGAAACCGGTTTGGCTCAGTGGTAGAGCGTCGGTCTGCGGACTGAAAGGTCCCAGGTTCGATTCCAGTCAAGGGCATGTACATTAGTTGTAGGCACATCCCCGGTAGGGAGTGTGCAAGAGGCAGCTGGTCGATGTTTCTCTCTCATCGACGTTTCTAGCTCTCTATCCCTCTCTCCTCCTCCTCTGTAAAAAATCAATAAAATTAAAAAAATATGTCTTTACTGATTTTTAGAAAGAGGAGGAGAGAGAGAGAAACATCGATATGATCCATTGCCTCCTATACACACTCGACTGGGACCAAATCTGCAACCTGGGCATGTGCTCTGATCAGGAATTGAACTGGCGACCTTTTGGTGCACAGGATAACATTCAACCAACTGAGCCACACCGCCAGGGCCTGTATACGTCTCTTAATCAGTGACAACCGAGTCTAAGAGGGCACACCTACGTGAAACAGCACCTCTGCCACCTGGCTCAGTGCAGCCCCCATGCTGCCCTCCTCCGGCCGCAGCCTGGTTCCCCGGCCTCGTGGGAGATGCTAACGAAGGGCCGTCCCCAGGCAGGGCCCAGGGCCCAGGTGATGGAGGCAGTAGGAGTCTGGGTCTCTGGAGCAGGAACATCTCCCTCAAAAACCCCTCCCCGAAACAGTCCGATCCTAGACTGGCAGAGGGCAGCTCAGAGAGGTAAAGGTTGGCTACCTCGCTCTCCAGGGGCTGCGGGAGCCACGGGGGAGCCACTGAGTCCTCGCCGGCGGCTGAGATCCCCGAAGCGGCTGAGGAAGGCCTGCTCCTCCTTCTGTGTGTGCAGGGACAGCAGGGCCTTGGTCAGGCCCACGGGGCGGTAGGCATCTGGGACTGGGTCAGGGGCTGCTGTGGGGGTGGGGGCTGGGCATGGAGCCAAGCCAGGCAGGTCCTCCATCATGACGATGTCTGAGGAGGGCGAGATGGGAGAAAGATCATCAGAAGCACCTCAGGAGTTAACACCACACCATACCTCCCCTGTCCGGGAGCTTAGCCAATCCCTGGCCTCCGCCCCACGGGCCTGGGCCCTGTGTGTACTGCCGGGCCCCTCCCCGCCGAGGACGGGCTCTGGGCCCTCTCCTCTGTGCAAAGCTGTCCCCGGAGGACAGAGGGTGCCCAGTCCCCCAGGGCACTCCCCCAGGGTGACGCCCTCCACCCCTCTCAGAGGGAAGCCCACCCCTTGCCCTTCTCTCCCACATTTCCCGGGTCACTGTCCCTCAGGGTTCTTTAAGTCCCTGCCTTCGGACCGTCTGTGGTCAGCACCTGGGGGATGACCCACCCCACACTTTGTGAACTGACAGGAAGACAGGGGAAGCAGGTGGGGGAAGACAAAGGAGCAAAGGCCGGTGGGATGGAGGCAAGGAGCGGCAGCCCCATGCTGAGCCGGAGCCGCCTCCTCTCCATCAGGGCAGAGGGGGTGGAAAAGGCAGGTGGGGAACTGGCTAGGGGGCAAAGGGAGCTGGGTTCTCCCCCTTACTCCAAGCCCCAGCCATACCCGACTCCGGGGGCTTCTTGTCTCCCACATGGACGATGGTGGAGCTGAAGCTACACTGACTGGTGACGGACACCACGCTCTCCGCCTTATTGGCCAGGGCGAGCGGGCTCAGGGCGCCTCCCACCACCGGCTCCTTCCGAGGGGGGGCCCCCTCCCCCGACAGCACTGCCGACTGATCTGTACAGAGAGATGGCACCAGTTACCACCACTTGCCCCACCATTCAGGAGAGGAGTCCCAGGGAGGAGGGGGAGGAATGGATGGTAGGGAGGATCTGGAGACTGGGAGGGGGACAGGCAGAGCAAGGTGGGGGGCCCACAGGCAGAGGGGGGAGACACAGGCCAGCAGGCCAGCACAGGGCAGTGGGAGCGGGACGGGCACTGGTCTTTACCTTTCTTGGTCCCCACAGAGGCTGGACCTGTCCTCTGCTTGTCATCATCAGAGGCCGAGGAGGTGGAGCAGGAGGAGGAGGAGGCACATTTGCGCTTGGTCGTGCCTGGGATGTTGCAGCTGTCCAGGTACCTGGCAATGCACAGGACGTGAGGGCAGGGCCTGGAGGGGCAAGACCAGTGCCAAGTGGAAGGAGGCGCCAGACCAGCCTCACCTGAGGATGCCGTCCAGGCAGTTAATCTGCTGGTAGGAGCAACTGGAGGCTTCTTTCCGCTCAGCCTCCTCAGGGGCCGCAGCGGGTGGGGCTGGGACTAGAGCAGGGTCTGCCTCCAGCTCTGGGTCTGGGGACTGGCAGGAAAGGGTCCTGGCCTTGACGGTGTCTATAGCTGAGCCAAGGAGAAAAAAGAGAAGGAAGCTTCTGGGTTGGGGTGAAGGTCAGAAGACCAGCAGTCTCACTCCTCACCCACACTCGCACCCGCTCCCGCACCCCCACCCGCACCCCCACCCGCTCGCTCCCGCACCCCCACCCGCACCCCCACTTGCACTGACTCCCCTGCCAACTCACCAGGGAAGCGGGGCCGGGGAAGAGGCCGAGCCCGGGACTCGATAAACAGCTGCTGCCCCTGGTGCTTCACCAGATGCACATCCTTACAGATCTGCTGGAAGGTCACCTGTGGGACAGAGCAGGGCAGTGGGCAGCATTGGGCAGGCCTGGCCAGTGGCAGGGGGGCAGGGCACAGTGCAACAAGAGGTACCAGTGGGGAAGCACGACGAGAGCAGGAGAGAAAAGTGGGGGGTGAGGCTAGGATTGGCAATGCTGATTCCAAAAGCGAGGGGACTGGGCGGCTAGAGGGGAGCAGTGGGAGAGCACTCACCGGAGCAGGAGGCCCAGGCCCCTCGGCGTCACCCCCGTTGCTGTCACTGGACGAGCCAGGGCTGAAGAGAGGGCCTGGGGAAGCCAGAGGGCCGACTCCGCAGAGCCCCATGGGGCTGGGGCTGTGCACGGGCTGAGGCAGGGAGAGGAGCAGGTGAGGTGTCCATAGCCCTACAGCCCACCCCTTCCTCCTCTCCCAGGCCTCCTCTCCCCGGCTCCCACCTGTAACAGCAGCCGGTGGATCTGCTCAGACAGCTCCTGGATATCAGGGTCCAGGGAAAGAGCGGGGCTGGGGGCTGGAGGAGTGAACACGTCCTCATTCAGAGGTGCCCTGTGGGATGAGGAAGGGTGAGTCAATCCCTACCCCCTCCAAACCGCCCCACCTCCAACGCCCACTCTGCTCACGGCCACTCACGTGCGGACTTTGTGGCGGCCCAGCACAAAGGCCACCTTGCGGCTCCAGGGGTGCACGAAGCCAGCCCAGCTGGTGTCCATGGTAACATACTCCCCGTTACGTGCGCAGAAACGAATGGGAGAGTGGTCAAAGGGCTGGCCGGCCAGCTGCAGGACTGAAGGGAAAGAAAGGGAGGCTCAGCCGGAGGGGGCGCCGAGGAAGGCGAAAGCCACCCCGCTGGAGCCTCGGGAGAACAAGGCACCGGGACCGGCACCGTTCAGAAGCCTGGAGACGGCCGGAGGAGGAGCGGGCGAGGACTCACCCTTCTTGTGGATGGCCAGCATGAGGGGTCGGTCCTCAGGATGCAGGAACATGAGCACTGGGGCCCCCAGGAGGTCCTGGGGGAGGTAGCCCAGCAGTGGGGCAGCCCTGAAATAGGAGGAGGCATCAGTCTGGCCATGGCGTCAGCCCCGGCCGCCCACTTTTCCTCAGGTCCTGACCTCACCTTTCATCCACATCCTGGAAGAGGCAGCTGGGCGTGTGCCGTGTGGTGAAGATCCTCTTGTCAGGCGGTATCCGGGGAGCTGAACACAGAAAATGTGGCCACTGGGTTTCATCCAAAACGGCCCAGGACCTCAGCCCTCCATGCCGCCTGGGGCCCAGGCCGGCTGGCCACCCTCCCACAGCTCTGCCCTGGGCCTTCTGGCCTACCAAGATGGCCTGGACCATTCTGTGGCCCATACCAGTCATGAGCGAGAGCAAGGCACACTGCTTTGCCCTCTCCTGGTTTGGGCTCTTAGCCAACTCTACCTCTAAAGGGGCTTCAAAGCCTCATCTTTATAATACCTTCTCTGTTCCAAAATTCCCAGGGGCTCCTGCCTCCCAAACTCATGGCCTGCTTCACCCCCAAACCAGAGAAGGTACCCTCCTTCCGCCCCCAACAGGCGAGGCTCCTCCTGGCCTGCCCACCTTCATAACCCGAGTGGATTCGCTCTGCAATGAGCAGGCAGCAGGGCTGTGCGGGAGCCCCTTCTGAGACCCGGATTTTGGTCACGTATGGGGTCAGGCGGAATGGCTGGTACCGCGGCCCGGGGTCCCTGTCGGGACCTCCTCTAGCAAGGGAGAAAAAGGCGTTAGTGACGATCAGGGAAAGGCCACCACCCTCCGCCTCGAGGTCAGGCTCACACAGTGAAGGAGGAGTGTGTGTGGAAGGTGGAGGGGTCTGCTCCCGCCTACCTGATACGGCAGAAGACAGACTTCTCCTGGGTGAAGTCCTTGACGCCTGAATTTGGGAGAGACCGGGAGAGAGGTGAGCACAGGCCCCCAGGCCCCTCCTGGGCTGGGAGGAACCCAGCAAGGAAAAGCCCGGGCTTCTGGTTCCTCACAGAATGAGCTTCCGGCAACTGCTCATCCGTCCCCCAAGCCCCTGGGGACCTCACCTGCCGAAGCCCCCACGCCCCAGGTAGGCAGGCGAGATGGGGCCGTGGAACCATAGAAGACGCCCACATCCTGGGGAGCCAGGAGCTCTGAGAAGCGGGCGCCCCGGAACACGTCCTGCTTGCAGTGCAGCAGGATACCTGCCTGCTCCGAAATGTAGACGATTCGGCCTGTCAGGAAGGAGACAGCCACGGAGAAGGTATCCTGGGCAGCAGAGGGAAGACAAGAGTGGACTCAGAGGCCATGGCAGTGGGGATGAGGGTGAGTGAGGACGGAGAGGCGGGGCTGCCGCTGACCTGGTTGCGAAGCGTGTACTCGGACGTGATGTGCTCCAGCTCCTCCAGAGTGTAGGTGGACATGTCCATGGCACATGCCTCACCTTCCTCCAGGCTCCACTGCTGGTAGTACTCCTGGTTGGCTACAGGGTGAGGGCAGTGGGGCACTCAGTGAGATGGCTCCCCAACAGTAACCCGGGACCCGGCCACTGTCCTCCCAGGAAGCACCACTCACCCTGCACCTGCTTGACACAGGCCAGTGCGTACTGCAGCGTGGCCAGCGTCCCGGAGCGGCCCTTGCCCCGGCGCTCTGGCGGAAGCCGGAGCTTGAGCTCCCGCAGCGCTGTCATGAGCTCCTTCTGGGTCCTCGCGCGGGCCGACTGTTCGCTGCTGCAAGGCCCAGAGGGAGGGAAGGGGCATAGGCATAAGCCTCAAAGCACAGCCCAGCCCCCAGGCCTCTTCCCCAGCCCTGACCCCACACACCTGCAGCCACTGGTAGATGGGTTGTCCTGTTCTGAGCTGGCACTTAGGAGGCTATAGGCCACGGAACTGCTGGGTGGGGACGGGCTCTGAGAGTTTGTGCTGAGGGAGAAGCAACAGGTCCACGTTGAGGAGAAAGCCTTTCTCCGGGCTCAGCCTGCTCACCAGACCCCTCCCAGCCCCCGTCACACACGCCTGTACACACCTCTTGCTGCTCTCAGTGGTCTCCAGCAGGGCGGAGTCCTTGCCGTTGCCTGAGGAGGAGCTATGTGAGCTCCGCTGAGATGCACCCCTGGACTCATGCCCGTTGGACTCATTGCCACTTGAGCCATTGCTGTTGGCATCGGTGTCATCAGCCAAGCTGGGGCCAGGGCAAGACCTGTGCTGCGGAGGCCCAGGGGAAGGCGCCCCTCCAGGACAAAAGGATTCTCCTGGCCTGGGGTCCCCTCCCCCATCAGCCCCTTCTAGGGAGCTACTCATGTCTGGGCCATGGGGAGGGCAGGTGGAAAACAGCGATGATGGAGAGGCCACCACGGATGCTCAAGAGGGCCAGGAGGCCTGGCTGGGGAGTGAAGGGAGAGACCCAAGTCTCTGAGGATTGAGAAGTTCGGTCACAGGTCAGTACCTGGAGAGGGAGACCAGAAAGGAGGGCTTAGCGAAAGCGGGGCTGTTAACTGGACAGTAGCCGCTACACTCGGATCCTCCCTGCGCCTGCCCCCAGGCTCCTGGGACCCGGGCTTCTAAGAGGAAGCTAGGTGAGTTCAGTTTCTGGTCCTGGTAGGGGGTTGGGGGTGGGAAGGGACCTTTCTTTGGCTTTCCCACTACCCTTGCCAGCGTGGCCTGGGTAAGTGGAGCCTGAGCAGTCTACTAAAACCACGGCTGTGGGCCAAACGGGACATCTTCCAGCCCCAAATTCCCATCTGGCTCCCACTCTGCCTAGGGCTCCAAGGCCGCTGGGCGCGCGGCGAGCCCGGCGCCTCCTATATTTAGGGCTCCCGGCTAATTTTATCAGGGGGCGGGGCCGCCGCCGCCGCACATGCGCGGAGACCCGCGCGGCCCCACCGCGGCGCTTCCGCCGCCGCCACCGCGGTCACCAGGGAAACCGACGTCAGCCGCTGAGCTCAGCGGTTGCTGGAGGGACCACAGGAGGGCGGGAAGGGCGACCCTCCCCCATTTCCCAGCGGAAGCAGACGATGGCCCTACTCCCACACGGGCGCGCCGGCGAGTGTGGCCAGGGTTCGCCCACCTCTACTACCCCCCCGTTCCCCGAGAGGGGTAGCCTGCCGGGACTCCGCCGGCTGGCCCTGCTCCCCGGGGCAAAACACAACTGCCAACCGCCACTGCCCTCCGCAAAAAGCCCCACAACCTGGCACTCGCCTGGATTCCACTCATTCTGGTCAAGATCTCTCAGCCTCACGTTATCTGGCCCCTCCACCCTCACCCAAAACCCCCCCCCTGCCCCCCCAAACCGAAGCTGGCACCTGCCACTGTCAGGGACCCAGGAATCCTTTCACCTCAGCCCGCGAATTTTCTGGACACATACCCCACCCCCATCCGAAGCAGACATACTCCGCTCTGAGCACGGGATACACATAGCCAGCGGACATTTCTTCTCCTACTCTCGGTCCAACCACACCCCCAAACCCCGAGCATTTTCTGAGCGCCAGGAGCAAAGGCAGGCTGTGGCCAACAGCAAGAACTAGCACCGAGAACGGGATGTTCCAGCCCGAAACGGACTGACATCACGGCCGGCGCCGGGCCAGGGGTTGAGGGGGGAGTGCAGGGAGCACAGAAACCCAGAAGGGGTCCGGTACCGCGGCTAAACCGGGGACCCCGAGTGACAAAAAAGACGGCAGGGGTCATTCCTGCCGAGGGTCGGGCGTGGGACCGGAAGAGCTGGGAGCGGGGCGGGGAGGGGGGTGCGGGGGGGGGGGCAAAGCGGAGGTAAGGTAAGGTAAGAGGGTCAGAGAACAGGCAGCCGGTGCAGGGTTGCAAGGAACAACACCTGGGTCCCAGGGGGGCTGAGAGGGTGTGGACATCGGTAAAGGAAGACGGATTATTGGTGTGCTGTCTGAACTCCAGGGCCGGAAACAGCATATCAGGCTATAAGTAGGGGCGATCCGATTTGGAGCTGGTAACCGGCTCCCGGGCTGGGGGGGGGGGGTCACGGAGACGCCTACCTGTCCGCGCGAGCGTCCTTCGGCCCCTGCCGCCGCCGGTGCAGCCGCCGCCGAATGGAAGCTCCCGGGGCCAGGAGGTGGATTGCATAATGCCAGGCTCTGCCCCTCATTGGCCTCCTGCCGCGGCGCCCAGGCCCCGCCCCGCACTGGCTGGGGCTCTTGTCCTGGCACCTGATTGGCTACTGGCCCTCACTGAGGTCAGGGCTGTGTCACACACGCGGGTGCACGTGGATCTGGGTGCTGGCACAGACATTACCCGCCAGCCAATGAGCGGGGACGCCTTGTACAATGAATACTGAAAGGAAGGGAGGTAAGCCGCCCCTCTTCCGGGAACATGCCCGGAATACATTCGTATTTAAGAGATGTTCGCTCACTGAACTGATCAGCCCTGCAGGACACTAGGGGTGGGAGAAGGGAACGCAGATCCAGCTTGATCCTGGGAGGAGGATCAAGCTGGATGACATGGCTGGTCCCTGAAAGGAGGGGGACAGACACTTGGCCTGACTTGTCCTGGGTTCCCTTTCTCAGCCTTGTCATTATAATAAAGCTGTTTTACCCAACTCCTTCCTCTGACACTTCCAATCCTTACACAGCTAGGAGGAAGGCGATTGAGAATCCAGATATGAAGTGTGGTGCTGCTGGTGGTGGATACGCACAATACAAAGGCAGCCAGAGCCAGTGGGAGGTGTGAAGGGAAACAATGGCAGGTGCTTCTGTGGCCAATCAGAGGAAAGGTCTCTAGGCCTAGGCAGCCTATGTGGTGACTAGTGCTTCTCTCCTCAGGATACAGCCACCCACAATTAGAGCTGCCCCAGAAGTGGAGGGCTAGAAACCCAGGGTTACAGGGAAACAAAAGGGATAGCTGAGAAAAAAGACCAATTGGGACCCTAGACAGAAAATGGTCTGGTGGCAAGGGCTTCAGATCTCCACCATGAGGAAAAGAGAAAGCCAAGAACATCCTCTCTCTACTTCGCTGTATTCCCCAGACCCTAGGACAGAAGGTGACACGTGGCAGGTGATCAGTTAAAACATGATTTTGTTGTTAACACTGATAGGGGAGGGGAAAGGGACTCAGCTCCAGAGAGGGACTGAAAATCACAACTTTTTTAAAAGAAGGAGGAGCAAAACACTCAGTCCTAGAAACAGAACAGGGGCCTGATTTGGGGAATAAAGTAGCAGGGTAGGCCCAGGAGAGCTGCAGGTACAGACTCCTTCCATCCAGGGCTGTAAGAATAGTTCCTCTCAGGGCTCCCTGAAGGTGTGGGTGGCAAGCCCCTCACCCCCAGCGATGCTGACCCAATCACTCTCCTCGCTGTCACAGGCCTAAGCTTTCCTTAACAATGGTGTTCCCCATCGGGTGCCAGGGGGAAGGCTCTGTGGAAAAGCTGGGAGGGAGGATATAAAATAACCTAGAAAAACCAAAGCAAGAAGACACAAGCAGCACCTGGGTTTTCAGTTTTCTCTACTTGAATATGTACCCCCAACTCACAAGTTGTGGCCCCATCCCTTGTCTCATTTTCAGACATCTCTTCTCGGGAAACATTTTCCTTCCTCCCAGCAGCGCTCCTCAGGGTAAAGGTGTAATCTCTCCTCACACAAGGCAGTCCTTGCTCTCCCACCTACACCTCCATATTTATTTTTTGCATAGACAAAAGGGTTCAGAGCCTCAGCAGCGCTCACCGGCTCCCACGGCCCTGGTTGTCCTGCCTCCCGGTCCCCACAGTAACGGGCCCTGCTGCCGTCAATGGAGGAGAGGGGGCGGGAGGCAGCCGTGACGTCAAAGCGGAGGAACGGGGCGGGGCGAGGAGGCCGGGGAATGTGGGGCAGGGCGGCTGGGGAGGCAGTGGTTTGGCTGGCGGCCAGACCCAGAGGGCGGCGGCCAGCGCACTTGGGAACATCGTGTTCTTTTGGCGGGTGGCCCAGGACATGCACCAAGCCCGAGCGCCTCCCACAACCCAACAACAGCCGTCCTGTCCCAAAGCCAGGGATTCCTGGAGAGAGGATTAGAAGGGGTCCCTCCTCCCCCGCTCTTTGTAGACACGCATCGCCCTCCCCTGGGCTTGTCCCTGCAGCTCCTGGCCCTGGCTTTTCCCCTCTCCCAACTGTACACATCTGCTGGCCCAATCCCAGGAAGGCCGGGTTCTGTGAGCGAACACGCGCACCTTTGCTCTTGCGAGGCCCCCTTCAGAGCCTGAATCTCTCGTTACTATGGCACCAAAGAAGGAGGGGCAGGGTGGAGAATGAGTCTAGGATGAGGAAATCAACTGGGAAAGCAAGTGGCTCAGCCTAGGGCCTGGATCCTGGGAGAGGGTTTTGGGCTGGTGCCTGAAGACCAGAACCAGAAGAGGGAAAGGGGGAGGGAGTCACCAAAACTGGCGGAAAAACTCAAGAATGTGAGAATAGTTCCTAACCACAGCATTCACATACATCTCTCGCCCTATTGCTGTTTTGTCATCCTACAGGCGTATTTTTAGCTAAATAATTTTTAAAACACAACCCAGGCATTTTGTCAAGCACTTTGCATACATTATCTTATTTAATCTTCATAGTAACACTGTGAGGTGGGTATTATTATCCAAAAGACCCACTGAAGCTCATAAGTTACTAAACTTTACTAAATTGTCTCATAACAAGTCTCAGGCTCTTAACAAATAGAGCCAGAGTTCAAATGTGACCTGTGATAATGGCTTGAAATTCTGGCTTTTTAGTTTTCTGAAACCTGTGAGGTTAATCAGCACTGGGGAACCAGAATCTCTCAAACATCCAGCCAATTCAGAACTTGGTGCCTGGAGCACAGACCCCATCCAAACCCCCCTCTCATTTGGGACATTCAGTTTGCATGTTCCACACACTTCAAGTCATCATAGCCCCAATTTTCACATGTGCACAAAGTCCTTGAGATCATCCTAGCAGCTACCAGACCCAGTGATTTCCTAAGAACCCCACTTCCTCACTCTTCCACCCTACCCCAGGTCCCTTTACCACAGGCCTAGTTGTTTGTACAGTAACCAGAGCACCCTGTTGGTTCCTCTTCATCTCCAGGGCCTGAGGAAGATGTGTGCACAGCTAAACCATACAAAACCGTCCCTCTCAGAATCCAACAGTTGCAACCTGATCTTTACTCCCAACGATGGCTCCCAGGCCTAACCCTTCCCTTTACACACAAGACATTCAGAACCCTGGTGTGACTGGCTCAGGGTCACACAAATCACCACCATGTGCAGCCGTTCCAGTTCCCTATCAGGGCGTCCCAGCAGCCTCAGAACCTCTGCCTCTTCAAGTGCTTAAGACACATAACAAACAGCAGCCACACACCGGAACGCCCCATCCACTCTCAGGGACCCCAGGGGTCTCAGCACCCTCATGTCGCTGAGGGCTTCCCGAGCCCCGCCTCCCAGTCAGTCGGGGGTCCAGGTGCCTTAGAGTGGTGAAGGAATTGATGTCA